CATCAAAAATGCACCGTCGCACCGGATTTAGCCCAAAAAAGTTTTTCTTTTTTGCAAATAAGTATCAATGAGCTGGAATAATTTTGTAACTTTTAATTTGAATGTCCATTTTTTAGTTAAGTGCCTCTGTCGTGAGTTTTTTTGCCATTTACCCTATAAATAATGTTGGTATAGTAAACTAGCTAAAAGATTTACTTTCATTCTAAATTTATTTCTTATATCATTTTATTTTACTATATGATTACTTGTGTTATTATGTAGGCAACCACGTCTATTTATAGACATTCAAGTGTGTTACTCGGATGGGGGTATTTTGTTTGTAGTTGATTTTGATAATTTATAGTTGATTTTGATACCGTGGTAGTTCTTTTCAGTTTTTTGTAGTTGATTTCGACAATTTTATAGTTGATTTTGATTTTTTTTATAATTGATTTCGTTAATTTGTTATTGATTTTTTTTTTGGGGGGGATAAACGTGCTATTGAAGACAACTATTTTTTTTAGTTGTTTTTATTAGTTTTTTTTTTTTCAAAAAGTAGCCATGTGAAATCTTGAACTGTAGAAAAACTTCTTGTGTTAAAAAATATGACTCGAACCCCTTATGAATTTCAGTCAAAGGCACTTTCTCCTCTAGGTCGAGTTCGTGTATGTCTCTCGCGGTTAGTGCTTTGAAAGGAAAATACATAAATACCGTTTTATCCATTTCATTAATAATTCAACTTTTAAATATAAATAGTTTAAACTTTAGGGACCCAATTGTAATATTTATAATTTCTTAAAAAACCCAAACCACAGCCCATGGCTGACAAACACTCCTCACGTCGTCTTACAGCCATCTTCTTCGGCGGCTTCTTTCTCCGGCGCCATCACCACCACCTCCTCAGTTCTCAATCCTGAACCTAGGCTTTCAATTCACGATTGCTCAAAAGCCACCGTTGGAGATTGAAGTTGACCTTTGACGGCCATGGTTTCTTCGGTGAAGATGCTTGCACAAAACCACTGCGGGTGATTTCGGGGGCCATGGTTTCTTTGGAGGTTTGGAGAAGGGTGGTTTGTGGACGAAGATGAAGAATGAAGAACAGAAAATAAGTTTTAACAGAAATACGTCAGAAAATTGGGTGGTGGTCGGAGTTGTTGGGACCTTGGGATGTTTTGGTCGAGGTTGGAGGAAATCGAGAAGGACCAGCAGCGGCAGTGCTCCGACAGTTGAGAAAAGGGCGGGCCGGTGGTAGTGGAAGAAGGGTGAGCATATCTCCCGAGGAAGGTGGTTTGGGTCCAGAAAAGAACCAAAGCCAGTGGCTTTGGCGGCAGATGTTGGGCCTATCTGGGAAGAAGATGAAGATCTTGAAGATGTTTTAGGGTTGGTGGTGGGGGTTGTCGACGAGGAAGATGATGAAGATCATGATGCTTCATTCTTTTTCTTACGAGTAAATTGCAAAAACTACCCCTGTGTAATCCTTAATTGCTAAAAAAGTCCTTGTGTTATAAAAATTAGCTCACCGCACCTATTGAAATTTTAGTCATTGACCAGAGATGAAAAGACAAATATAACCTTTAATTAATAATATAAAATTAGAATTAATATACAATAGAGGCCAAATTGTAATTTTACTAAATTTCTAAACTTAATTAGGTGACTGTATTGTAATTTTTCAAAATACTATTAAACCTAGATTGAAACACACACTACGCACAAAATTCATTGCACAGACCCCTGCCTCTTCTGCGGCGGCGCCGTCGACCAGTTCCACAGCCTTTTCTTCTTTTGCAAACTCTAAAACCATCGTCGGAGAAGACGGTAAAAAACAGAAAAACAATGGGGAAGTTTGGATCTGGAGGCATCTGATACCTTGCTCTTCTCCTCCACTATTTCGTGAGGCTGCCGGCTTCGACAGAGCTACAGGATTTGAGAGAATTAGGGGCGGCTTCGGCGGCGATAGTGACCGTGGTTGTTGCCTGTGTTGTTTTGAGTTCCAGAAATTTTGGGAAAGAGAATTAGGTGCTGGATTTTTTTTTTCCAAGTGGGGGCGTTGAGACTTGAGAGGGTGATGGGGGAGAACGAAGATGATTAGGATTTAAGATTTTAAAAATTGCTATTTGGTCCTTTGAATTTAATTTATTTACAATTACATCAAATTTAACATACATTTTTTATTTATATGTATAAAAGGGTGTTTATGTCATTTTACCCCCAAATTTTTCAAAAGAACCGCACAACCTGCGCGTGATTACCACGAGCAGCTTTAATGGACTTTTTCGCCTTTGACTTTTAATCATAGGGGGGTTTTTGCTAATTTTTATAACACAAGGACTTTTTTAGCAATTAAGGATTACACAGGGGTGGTGTATTGCAATTTACTCTTTCTACTAACAAAAAACCCCGGGCTATTTCTGTCTTTTACCTTGAGTTTAAAGCGTAATTTGCAAATGAGTCGGGCATGTTATTTAAAAGTGCACGGTACAAATAAGTTCATCATGGGATATTTATTTATGAAGGGATTCGGACAAAAAACTCTTTTACAAAAAAATTCAGACATTACTTAGAGGTGTGTAAAAGACTAAACTACCCCTTCATATTTTTATATGCCCCAATTTTATCTTTAAATTCAATTTAACCTCAATTTGACCCCCAAATTTCACATATTATTCGATTTTGACCCAAAAGTCAATTTTGAGTAGAATTTCGCACGTCACCGTCGTTAACTTTTGTTTCATCTTCAACATTTTTTTTACCCCATTTAAACAGTAATTGTTGTGATTGACTGTCATATTAACTATATTACAGTTTAACACAGTAATATGAATTATACTACAGTTTAACATAGTAATATTAATTATACTACAGTTTAACACAGTAATATTGCAATATTACTTTCTACCATAATGATATTATCACAACAAAAATCACTATTATTGTGTAATAAAGTAATATTAATATGTTGGCCGTTCAACAAAGAAAAATATAATAAAAACCAAAAGAATTAATACTGATGTGATTGACAATAATATTAAAGTCATCCATAGTAATATTACTGTAACGACAGTAATATTACCGTCAACCACAATACTAGTATTGTGTTTATAGTAATATTACAAAGTAGACAATAATATTATTACGTTAATTGGTCAATAAATCAAACAAAACAAAATGGCCAAAAAGAAAATAATATTGATGTGGTTGATAGTAATATTGTTGTGTTTACAGTAATTTTACCATCAACGACAGTAATATAATTACGTTGACTTGTCAACAAATCAAACAAAATAAAAAACAAAGCCAAAAAATAAATAATTACGAAAATGTACTGTCAATGACAAGACAATTACGTAAATGTAGTGTCAATGACAGTACAATTAATGTCAGCGCCAATATAATTATTGTTAGTAACAGTACAATTACGGTCAACGTTCAGTGGCGGGCCTTAAAAAAAATCAACGCCGGAGACCGGCATTTGAAAAAGCAGACAAAAAAAAAAGTTCAGAGTAAGAAAAAGTCAAAACTGGATTTTTGTGGTCTAAATTGATTAAGTTGAAAAAATAAATTCTTAATTTTTTTATTTTAATTAAATAAATACGAAAATATTAAATTATATAAAAAAAATGAAAATTGCATTAAAAGAATGATAGTGAATAGTGGGAGGGTAAATTTGGAAGAAATAAAAAATTGGATCTACCACAAATAAATGAAAATGGGTTGGACCCATTCTTATTAAAAAAAATAAGATTGAGAGGGTTCTCACTTCTACCTTTTTTTTATGAAGAAAACGTAGAGCTTTTATTTAGGCACAAGCCAGACTATGCGGAAGGGAAAAACCTTCTCTACAAACCGAACCAAGTTTAGTGGCAATGTCATGTGCCAATTGGTTCCCACTTCGCTTGATAAAATAAAAATTACAACGAACAAAACTCTTAGCAATCGATAAAACTTCTTCTAGGAAAGCACCAAACGACGACAAAAGAGGATCGCCGGAGTTTAACGCTTGAATTACCTGTAGACAATCGCCCTCCAATATGATCGAGGTCCACCCTTGAGTTTTGGCAATGTTGATGGCTTCAAT